TCCTCTGGCCTTGTTCCAGTAGCTGACATTAGACTTGAGACTAGAGAATAATCTGTGAGCAGAGACAAAGAGAAACTGTAGAGAAGTTTGAACAAGGAGGAAGACTGGGATTGAAAAGAAAGGAGTCAGTGATATAGGGAAATAGAGATGACACCTATTGATATGTAACCTACATTTACTGCGTGTGGCTGAGCAGGTTCATCAGGACTTGGGTGCGCGTGTGCGTGAGGCACGAGGCTTGGGCTAAGCTAATGTTCCTCTCAGGGCTGGGCATGCAAGCAGTGCTGCAAGCTGAATCGCGTCTGATTCTTTAATTTCACCCAGTTCTCACACCTGACAGGTTCTTCTCTCAGGCTACCCTAACAAACTCAAACCGAACACTGACCATCCACATCAGGAACTTTTGCTTTGTTGTGCTGATAGATGTGAATAGGCGAAAGCCATAAAGATGGGTCGACACTGCTTATTGCCCAGGGCCCCTGGCCACAACTTTTCACTTTTGACGACTGAAAATGAAAAGCTTATGGCCCAAATGGACACTTGCATTGAAAACTTCCTTTTCCCATTTTAACAAACCGTAAGATCAGTTGAATTTTCACACATTCGCATATATCCACCATTACTTACAAACAGTTACTTTCCACTAGCATGATTAGTATTTTCACAGGGTCCACTGCAACTTAGACCTATTTTATATGCTGTCTTTAGCTTATTATAACTGATTTAATGAAATTCTTGATGAATTAAATCACATTAAATAATATTAGAAAGTCAACATTTTTTAGTAATAAACTGTCTCACTTCAAAAACAGCTGGATTCATGGCTGTTTGGTCTCTGTAAGTGACACACAAAAGCTGCTTGCATGCAATCTGCAGACGGCTAAACAGATGTGACTGCGCATGTTCTCATTAATGTACATTTCTAGATGCACAGCACCTCATGGGCATGGCTTGGGGAGCTTGGTCAGAACTGGAACATAGGCCAAGATTTTTCTGTCCAATTCCAACTTGAACCACATCATTATGTTTTGAGTCTGAAACTGACCCAAGTATAGCAAAATTCTGTCTGAACCTACCCAAACCCATCAATCACCCAAAGTGCAGAATAAAACCTGACAGGAGAGTACATGTAGTAATAGTCGTCATTAGATCATGGCATTTTGATTTTGTGTTTTAAAAATGTTTCCTTTTTAAAGCAACACCTGATTCCTTGTTGGCCCTGAAGCATGCTTGTTAATTGTAAATACAATCTATGTACAATAAACATGTTTCTAAACTTCTGGCCACAAATTGATTATTGTGGCCATGAGATTCATTGGCTTGGTTGCCAGAATGGCCAGTGCAAACATAAACCTTTTCAGAGTGACCACATTTCAGTGACTTGGTGTTATTCGTTGCTGTTTTTGCATGTAGCTGTTTAAAATATGTAACGCTCACATTTCCTGCTCCAAGTATAGGAAACAGCTGGCTCCTCAGAGCAGGATGGCCATGTGCTGGGGGGGGGGTAACTTGGGGAGTATCCAGAATCTAGGAAGAACTTATGACCTTTTTTGCGGCCCTTCCACGCAAATAGTAGAGCCATTGCTCAAGAGGGATGAGTGATTCTGTAAACATGACATGACAACAGCAACATCTCGGATTACCAGACGAGTGGAAGAGAAAGGTCTTAATGGGACAAGTCCGATATAAACACGAGTAGACCGTGTCTTACACAACCCCAAGTGCAGCCACATGATCGAGATAGAGCAAGGTGTTTTGCACATGGTTGTTTCAGCTGCAGGTGCAATGTGTAGGACCAGTGAGGACTGGAGCGTCTTGTGCTGTAATGTAAGGAGCTGGGTGTGTTTACATGTGATGTAATCGATCGTGTGGATTCTCCTCAGCACGTCGGCAACAGGCGCTGACGTCACAGCCCACATGCCTGTCAGTCTCCACGTGACAGGTTGTGGTTTTTACTTGGTTTTTGGTGCACTGTGCTTGGATAGCATTAGCCTAAATGATAACATGAGCCCATGATGTCCTCCAGCAGCCCACCCTAGACACTGGGAAATTGAACAGTAACAACCTTTGATCAACTGTTCACCACCCAAGCCCTTCCTGGTAGGCGGTATTGATCTGCAGGTGAACTGTCTTATCTTGTCTCGTCCAGGCTTGACTGATGCCTATCAGAGTCAAACTGTTGCAGCTGATGCTTCAGAGAGACGAAACACAAGATAATGACTTAAGTTTCTCAAGCCATCAGGGAAATCTTTAATTAAGACTTCTTCTCTTCATTAATCCATTAGAGTGAGATTGCCTTGGGTCTTCCTGTTAGATATTATTAGACATGATTACAGTTACAGGGCTGAAGATGGAGAGTGCGTGTTAGGGGATTAAGTCCTACGTGATGAAAGTAATTTACTGTAATTAAGAAAGTCAAGTATAACCACAAAAAGTTCAGAGGTGTAAAATTATGTCACAGTGCTTTGTACTTCAGGAAGAGCTCAGCTCAGAGGAGACAGGAATCCAGTGCAGTGAGTTTTCTGTATTGCCTGAGGATGTGCTTCAGAATGAACAAAGACGTTTAACGTGTAAGATATGTAAGCTGACAATGACGCGGTCGTGTCGTAGGTAGGTGCAGCTTATCCAGACAGAACTAGAACCGTTTCTTGACAACCTGATTATATTTTTGGTTTTCATCTTTGATGTTAATTTTAAGAACTTTTTTTTTATAAAATAAAGAACAGATAAAGATGGGATGACTTCATTATTATTTTTTTGTACATATGTTTAAAAAGTACATGCTACCATACTGTCAGCAGGTCTTGTTCACCTACCATACTGTCAGCAGGTCTTGTTCACCTACCAAACCTTGCTATAGGTAAGAATTACTGTGAAGGAGTGTTCAGAGTGTTAGAATACGTAATTAAAGGTGTGGTGTAAACGGATGACCAACAGTCTGCCCAGTGTTACTATGATTGCCCTGAGATCACCTCTCTTCTGTTCAGCCAGCTGTAGAAAACCAAAGCACTTTAAATGCCAGCACTACTGCGTCAGCTGTTTTCCTGTATATGTGTGGTGGGCTTATGTGCTCTGTGCGTTACTCTGTGTGGGTACTTATTTTGCATTACGTTTAAAAAGGTAGATAATCGCTGGTATAAACAGTAACCTGAATGAACCACAGTCACCTGTGTAAAGTCAGTCTCTCCCCTCACTGAGAAGCCTGTCTCCAAGGCCCAAACGAGGAGAGGTCTGCAAGTAACACATCTCTAAAAGGTCTCAGAAGAGTATTACAAAACCACCACAGTGATTGCGTTCCTTGTAGTTGTTGATTCTAAATTTAGTATTTTTCCTGCTTGTGTCCTGTTTTACCTCTGAAGCTATTCATAGCCCTTGCACAACTGTCCAAAGAAAACAACAGCATGAACTGAAGTGCACTTGGAGCTCATCATGAGAGACATTGATGGGGGATTTTCGTACAAATAATAATTTTTTTAATGATTTAAGTGAGACAGTCACAATTTTGAAGGTTGTCTTGAACGTATTCAGTGTTGGTTAGGTTATGTATTTGTCAACCCTCGACTAAAATGTCCATGTATATTTCTTACATGATAAACACATGCCATGATCAACCTGCCTTCAACTTCTCCATCACAGCTCAGCGCCTGAGCTAAATTACAGTGCAGAAGCCAGAGACCACATTTTATTTATTTAATTTGCAGTCAAAACAGTTATTCAGCACAGGTTATTCATTCATCAGCATCATCAGGAAAAAGAAGAAAACATACACTTAACAGAAAATTACTCAGAAGCCTCAACAAATTATAACAGTTTTTTTCTGAGATTTTTGTCCATCCTTCACCGTTATTACAGCTTCCATTCGTTTAGGGTGACTTTTCAACAAAACTTGCAGGGATGCTTCCACACCTCCAAAATTCAGAAGTTGGTTGCATTTTCTGCTTCTCACAATTCAAGTAATCCCCAATGCATCCAGTGGTGTTGAGGTCTGGAACACGCGGTTATTTTAATCGATTTGTAAATTTTCTTTTTCTTTTTTCTTTTTTTTTTTTGTCTATGTGCTTTCTTCAGTAATGGCTTCTTGACAGCTACACATTCTTTCAGACCCATAGCGCTGAGTTATCTTCTCACAGTGGAAGGACGGACACAAACACTTGTGGACTTTTTCAGATTGGAACCCAGACTGGAGCTTGATCTTTTTCCTCTCTCTCAAAGATGAAAGTTTTATATTTCATGGTAAAAATAAAGTACTAAAATGAGACATCATCTGCTTGTTGCTATCCTGTTAATGCACTTGCTATACACAGGTTGTGGTTGTTTACAGACTCACTATAATTGGTCTAATTAGGTTTTTTTTTTTAATGAAACATGCAGTTGTTTAGTAGAAGGACTGAAAATACCCATGATGCATTCAGGAAAGTGACATGATTTATTACGATTATTATAAGATATTTTCATATTGCCCACCACTAATACAGAGCAGCGACCGTGTTGTTGCTGAGGAGCCCAGGCTGTGGGCTGTCTGTAGGCCCTGCTGCAGAGCCCCGCCTGCGTGGAGCACATGGCCGAGTCTTCAGTCCGCCCACTGAAGTTGTGCGGCTCCACAGCGCCTAAAGCTCAGATCAGCCTGGCCGCCGGGCCACTTCAAACCTACTGAGAACTGGAAGAGTTTTTAAACCAGCTAGTGTTTTTTCTCTGCCCCGGGAGGGCACTTTTCATTACTGTTTTACTGGAAGACTGATTACAACACGAACTTTTAACAGAACTTTTTAAAAGAGAACTTTTATCGCGGGCAGCTCGAGTCTCTGCGGCAGCGTTTCAGACCGAATCGGACAGCGCGGTTCGTCTTGAGTGTAACGTTAGTCGAAGACTTCGGCTGTCCTTAGTGGAGCTTTTTAGGCGCCTGAGTGCGTCTTCCTGGCCGGCTTGGTTAGTTTTTCTCCTTCCAGTGTGGACTAGTATGGCCGTGGGAGAGAGCTGCTGAGGATCTCCGGTTCTCAGCCATGACTCTGGCTCGACTGGCCGCCTCGGAGAGCCCTGCGCCCGGACAGCTCTGCTCCTGCTGCGGGGCTAAACTCACCACAGCCCCGCTGCACAGCCACACACAGCAGCTGTAAGTCCGCCGACCACTTCATCCGGAGGGTGTTTCACAAAGCAGGATTTCTTTAAGCCAGTTCACTTAACCCTGAAGTCAAGCCTGTCTAACAGGAAGAGTTTGGGGAAAGTCTTACTGGACTTCAGGCTTCAGCCTGGCTGAGAAACCCTGCTTTGCCCTGTGAAGCCTCAGTGTAGTGTCTGCTTTAACTGAGCTGATCATGTCTCTAGATTTGTGATGTCGAGCTAGCAAAACAGGCTAGCCAGCGTTCATTCAGCTCGAACAACTTAGGCTAGAGTAAGATTTTACATATTTTTCGGCTCATAAAAGTTTCCAGATGAGCTTAAGAGCGATATAAAATGAAATCATTTCAGTGAGAAGAAACTGAGGAATTCAGGTTTTCCGGTTGCTCAAGAGTTACTGAATGTGAAGAGTTTCTTAAACGTGTGACGCGGCAGGACATGAGGTGTTTCCTCTGTTGGGAAGTGTTGTGTGTGTGTGTGTGTGTGTGTGTGTGTGTGATTCACCTACCTGTGCTGGAGCTGCTGTGATGAGCCTGACAGAGACACACTATTGTTTTGCTGACTCACAAGGAAATGACTTTTCCCTCTGTTCATACGTTGGGAAATCACTAGAGCTGCATCCAAAACCACACACTACTTTACTACACATACTACACTAATGAATGGAATTATATTGGTGGTGCACTATTTTGGACATACATGCTGGTATGCGGTTTTGGACACTGCTTGGGTATCCGTTTGCATACTGGTTTGGAGCATCACATCTGACCATCTTTTGCCGTCTGTGTCCCTTTATGTGAAGCAATTTAAAGGAGAATTCAACCATTCGGCAAAATTAAATGGTTAAGGTGTAAACAAAGTCATTCATAGTGGTTTGACGTATGATGTGTTTAATGCCTTTAAAAAGTGCCTCATATAAACTTGTAACTTGACATGGTTCTGAACATGCTACCTGATGCCTGCAACGTTTTTTTTTCTTTTCAGTAGTTTTGAGAAAATTGGGCTTTTTTTCTATTGTCAACTATTACCAACTTTGCAGTAAGAACACACGTGTAGATTCACTGGTCATTTTGGAAAGTAAATTAAATGGCTGTATTTAGTCTGTAAGTCTCTCAACAGTGCACCATTTCAAATGACTGTGTTTACATCAAAATGATCAATGAAATTTGGAAAAATTGGTATAGTTCCCCTTTAAAGGTTAGGGCCTAATTATTACAGTAGGCCCTCTCTTTAACTGGGCGCTTTGCACTTTTTCGGAATATCAAGCCCCCCCGATTTGATTGTACAAATCAGCCTCTGAGTGTGTACTGAAGTTGCTTGTTTTCACTTTTTTGCATGTACTGTACAGTTGTGATTGTGTACAGTGACGAGCTACGGCCAGGTCGTATTTCACCCGCAGATTTTGCATGTTTCGAAAACACACTAGTGTGGTGGAAGGATCATGCAGAGTGTGAAACAAGTCTGATGTCTTCAGGAAGTGTTTGAGAAAGGTGTTGATGTGTTGCTTGATGCCCTTGATGGTTCATTGCTCACATTAGGTGAAAGACAGTCATGAGGGGGAAGTCCAGAGACTGTTACTGAGCCTTCACCTGACTAAAGAAAGTTTTCTTCCTGGTGTGGAGCCATGGTGCTGTCACATGACTGTGTTATTGTTTAGCTTCAGACCTGTAAAGTGCATGTTAGGTAGCACTTCATAGTTTCTCACCTGAAAACACTGCTGCACTGTTACATTGAAGCTTTGATTTACTTAGCTCATCACCTTAGATCAGATCATTGTGTTCACCAAGTGCAGTTGTTTCTTGCTGTCGGTGACATCAGACATGCTAAATACATAATAGTTAGAAGTCATTTTCAGATTTGATATGATATTTGATTGACCCTTTTGTTTGATTTTTCGTACTTTGTGTTAAATGCCTTGATTCTGCATAGCTCTAATTATGAACTACTCAGATTGTTTTGGCTCAGATCAATGCAACATTAATTTCAAAACAAAAGACTGTAAAGTAGTTTGTCTCTGTGCAAAATAATGATCTTATAAAGCAGCACCATAAGCTATAAACAGTACAGAAATAGATACTCCCGGATGCCTACGAAAGACAAGAAATGAGAGCCTGCTTGAAGACACACTTAGGCGATCTAGTTTTAAATTTCAATACTTGAACATTCATTTTTTTCCATTTTTTGATACCATATTGATATGGTTATAGAACAAAAAACAAGATCCCCCTAAAAAGTACTAGAACAGACGTAAAGTGAATTTACTGTGATTGACACAGAATAGAAATACACAGGAAAGTCTAAACTACATTGTGTTTAGAGTGCTTAACCCAGTTTGGCTTCAGGGCTGTGCTTACTGCTTTTTTAGGTATTTCTGACTGCATTGCATTAAATTTAGGGGGGTTTATTTTGTTTGTGGTAAACAGTTAACGACCATGGAGGAGGTTGGTCTGTTCTTAAACTGTTTTTTTTTTCCTCAGTTAAAAACAAACACTTGCATACACAAAAACTAGCATGTGTGTGCCATAGTCTGCACCAGCTGTGGGAAGTTACTTTTCTAGGGAGCTTTGCTCTGAGTCTGATTTACTTTCTCAGAGCTGTCAGACAATACAAACTCAAACTGATGAGGGAACAGCTAGTTATCTGAGAGGTGATAAAACCAGGTTAGGTTAGATTTTGCTTCCTCGGAATGATTTCGGCCAGGTGCAGTTTGTAGGTATAAAGAATTCCAGTCAGTCTATGACATAAGTGTGTGTGTGTGTGTGTGTGTGTGTGTGTGTGTGTGTGTGTGTGTGTGTGAGAGAGAGAGAGCAGGACTTTAATGTTTAACTGGTAATTGCAGCAGGTTTCCAAGCAAGGAAGTGCTATGTTGAAACCTGAAATTTAAAAGCATCCTCCCGTTCCGCTCTCTAGTGTGTACAAAGACAGACAGATAAGCACACACACACAAACACATCTGCTATTCCAGGAAGAGGCAGTAAGAATACAAATGTGGCAAGCTGAAGGGTGTGTGTTGTGTTGGCAGCTGAAGTGGGAAGTCCGATTGAGGTTACAAGTGCTTGATGTTCCTCTGAACTGATGTGCTGCATGGTTGAAGGTTTGGTTACTTCCTTAAGTTTCCTTATAACAATGAGTTAAACCAGTTTAGTCAGCTGAGCCTTGGATGGTCAATTAGACAAAGTTAAAAAAAAACGAAATCTTAGAAACCTTCTACTCTTGTAAGCACTGTTCAGTGGTTATCTGCTCAACACATTCACAGAAGAGATTAGACCATCTTCTTCTACATGAATTTCCTTTTTTGGGGTAGTGGGACCAGTTTGTCTCTAATCATATCTGACCTCCATCGTCTCCATTTCCTGTTCTACAACCACCCCACCCAAGAAAGGAAGTTCCCACCCCCTCTACTCAGTGTAACATGTCTTTTATTGGGCCGCTGTATGGAGCAATTTTCATTCAGCCTCTGGCTTGAACAAGTTCCCAGTTGTACTTACTGAATTGAAAGCTTTGGCTCCAGTGTCAGATTCAGCCTAGCTGTACAGTTCTTTGTAGTTTCTTGGCTGGAGTTTCACTGTATCTCACTGTAATAGATCTTATTAATATGTAGAAATGTTAATTAATAGGTAGATTACTTACCTGCTAATATAATCGATAGTGATTGACACAATTATTTTTATTGTGTTTTCCACTATAGTGTAAATAGTTTCTTCAGTCCCGTGAATATTTATCAAATCGTTGCGAGGTCAGAGGTTTAAAGCCCTACTTTGCAGTAGCCAGTAAATGGCTGGATGTGTAGAACACACAGCTAATCCATATCTTAGAAGGTGACAGAATGCACCCAGTTTCTCTCAAGCCCCTGACCGACCCTGCCCCCCATCTCATCTCTCTCTCTCTCTCTCTCTCTCTCTCTCTCTCTCTCTCTCTCTCTCAGGCCTGAACTCTTAAGGCCTTTGGTTAGGCTGAGACCCAGACCTATATTTATCTCCTCCCTAGTGGGAGTGTGACTAATAAGGGCAGAGACAGGTGGGGGTCAGGCATCTCTCCGCCCGCTAAAGGGGTGGACGAGTGGAGTGCTTTGTCCCCTTACATAGTTATGGCTGTGTCTGTGCCCTAACAAGTACAGGGATGCCGAACGATGCTGCCACCCAACACCTCCCATTGGTGCCTCCCTTTTTCACTCATCCTCCTAAGCCACATGTGGATGAGTACAGGCAGGCTGGCTATTTCCTCCTGTCTGACCCATCAGGTTCCCTTTTCTTTTTCTTTTTTTTTCCCAGCCCTGGCCGTGAGACAACAAGTATGTCTGTGTATGACCTTACAAAGTCTGCCTGAGTGAAATGTCAGCGGGTGGAATTGCCGGTGTGTATCCTCCATGCCCTCTGTGCTCCCTGCACACAGATAGAGCTCTACTTGTGAAACCCACTGACCCTGCTGAAGGCAGCGTGCTGGGTCACATTCTTCACTCTTCACTGGAAAAAAGTCTTCCTGCACCCAGAGTGCAGAGCCTTCTGACAGTAGCTGACTGCATGGTTTATCGAAGAAATTGCATAATTTAAACATACAAATTGTTGTTTTAAGCGATAGTCCTGCAAAAAACAAATTACACAATTTTCCCCATACCACAAATGTAGCTGACATGTTTGTCATCTAAAGTTTGTTTCATTGGAGCTATGAGACTAATTTATCTAACAAATAATGGAATCTTATAGCAACCAGTTTAGCAAAGTTGGTGCCTAATCGCTCACAACTATCAAATGGTTAAAAATCTCAAATTGGTTGGGTTTATAACATACTACTGTCATGCAGCGTTGCAATAACTAATGCACGAACATACATGTGCCTGAAAACTCTTTAGGACCTCTAGGAGGTTTCAAACCCCGGGAGACGTACAGTTGTAAGTGATTACCGGAGATGTTATACAGTAGACACCAAAACTGTAGAAGTCTATCAATAGCCTACGTTCGTTCACTGTGCCATTTCAACTATATTTAGCCACGTAAATTTAGCTGCAAGCCTGCAGCCTAGATCTTGACTCTGTACTGTAGCGTGAGGCACTGATTGTTTCACAAGCCTCTTTATTAAATAAAAGATGTGTCCTCATATCTGTCTTTTTCTCTTCCTCTCTTCTACTGTCTCTCATGTTTTAAAGAGTACTCAGCTTCTCAGGTCGGGCGTTATTGGAGCCAGATGTAGTAGAAAAAAAGAATGGATGAGTGAGTGAGGGAAAGAGAGGGAAATTCAGGCAAGAAATGAGTGGAGAGAGAAAGAGAAAGAGAAAGAGAGGGAGAGGAAACAGCTGGGTCAGGGGTGAGTGGGTTATGGGAAATGAGCTCAGTGTTTTTGTTTTTCCTCTGGCCGTGACTCCATTCTCTGCCTTGTGCAAATGTCGGTGAAAATTTTTCTGCCGTGGGCTCCTGAGAGAAGGCCAAGCTGACAGAGAGCTGGCTGTTTCCTCCTGCTTTAATCACAGCCCTTTTGAAGTGGCTGCAGGGCTTTTGTGGGGTGGGGAGCTGCTGTTAAGCCAGGAGCCCACCGGCCAAAGCTCAGAGTTGCTGGTGTTTCTCACAGTGTTCAGCTGATGGTGAAGGTGGGGCTATAATGATAACTGTGGCTCCTCTCTATTCTGCCCTGCTCTTTCATTGAGTTCTGAGTAGAGGCCAGATTCACACCTATAAAGCACTGCCTGTCTCTCTGTTGTGCATCACTTAGTAGAGGTGTAAAACCGAAGGTGACAATCCAGCTGCATCAGTTTTGAAATGCTAGAATCAGTGATAATTGTTTATCATAAAACTCAAAAATTTGCTAGTTTTTTGGCCAAGATAAAATTCCTGGCTATTCTTTCATAAGAAAATATCTAAAAAGGGTAGAAAATGTATAGAACAGTATAATGTGTCTTTGTATTTAATTGCATTGCAGCATCATATCATGTTCTGTTGTATAGCATGTTAGCTTGGGCTAACAGCATGTGACGAGTGTTAGATTGGCACATTATAAATTATAGCTTTTGTTTCAAATCACTTATCAATTATGTTGTACTTGTTTTAGTCTCCTTTTTTGAAAGCTGTAATAAACTGAAAAAAGAAACGTTAACATACTAACGTAAGTCACATTTTCACACACTTTATTGCTGTATCCAAAAATCTATGGAATTAAGACACCACATTAATTGTCACATTCCTAAATACTTGGTATATTATAATGGTATAAATTCAACTACTGTGTAAATAGTTCCTTCAGTCATGCTTGTATATTGTTTTTAACAAGAATTCTGAATTGTATCGTACCAAAATAATAAAACTGAATTGAATCATGGCAAAATTGGTGATTCATGTAGTATTGAATCATTTCCTAAAGAACTGTAAGTACCACACCATCCCACAGAGACAGCGCTTAACCCCAGACACAAGCTTACCAACTGTGTTCTGGGTCAGCGTGTGTGTTTCTGTGCACATGTATGTGTATGAGAGAACAAGTTACCACCGTAAGACTGGCCACATGAATGGTTTGATGTTTCTGCATTGCTGTAATGTTTGTCCAGTTTTATAGATTTTTTTTGTCCTTTCTCTGTCTCAGCATCAGCGAGAATTTCCTCACAGTCAAAGGCGCTGCTGTCTTCTTACCACGTGGAAATGGTTCTTCACCCTCCTCAGTGCCCCGCATTACACAGCGGCGGAATAAACACACAGGTATGCCACACACACTCTCTGTGAACCACACTGGTCCATTAATAAGATCACTCTCATGCTCATACAGGGGTAGACGGTGCCTATGTCTTAGTGCCCTGGCCACAACTTTTCACATTTTGGCCAATTGCAAGCCTGTGCAGGTGGCCATTTATCTTGGAGTTTTCTTCTCTCTTATCAAACCTGTCTAGTAGGATACAGAACTAATCAGACAAATTAGATTTTGTCACAGTTGTTAACTGTAACCACCACAATAGCTAGTATGGTTGTGTGGTGACTGTGGAGGTCACACAGTCTGTTCAACCTGGCATCACAGATGGATTTCCATTGACTAAAGTTTGTTAATGTAACTCAATGAAATAAGGTCTGAAATAGAATAAGGTGTGAGTAGGTGTTACACTGAGAAGCCATCCCTGCAGTAGCTAGACAATACCTCAATAATGGGGACCATCATGATCCCCAAGGCAAGGTTTTTATTAATGGAAAATTTTTGAAAAATATTTTCCTTTTTTCAAATCAACATCCATCTGTTTTTTTGGTACTGAAGCATGGTTGTTAATTGTAAATATATATGTATATATGATAAATGTGTTTTCTATTATTTTGGCCAAAACTTCTTAGCAAGATTCATTGGCTTTTTTATATCAGTCTGTTTCTGCTCATAGTAAGTACAGAAGTACAGTACAGCCATGTGCACCAGCCTCAGTGCTAACTGGACAGAACTCCACTGTCAGCAGAGCAGTGAGGCTGCTGGAATGTGGCCTGGTCATGAGAATGGAGGCTAATGCATATGGCAGGCTATTTAAGAGAACTGTTCCATAAGCTTGACCTTTGGGGTGAAGGACATTGATTATTTTAGTTAGTGGACATGTATGTGTATTGCTATGGGTGGAATATATAGGCTTCTCTGAAAATGCATTTTGAATGACATTAGCTGTAACCAATAACTGTGATGAACCAGTTTCGGTAGACTGTCTGCAGCCTCTCTGAGTTCTCAGTAGTCTTACAAATTCCTGAGCTATATAAAACCCAGCAAACAGGAAGTGTGTGTTTTACATGTAAAAAGAAGTGAAAGGGGCTTGTAATGTTGTTGTGTCTTTCAGTGTAAAGTAGAATTCATAGTTCTAATTTAGAAATTAATAAGCCTGTTGGTTTCTGTCCAGGTGACCTCCAGCAACACCTGCAGACCATGTTCACTCTGCTGCGGCCAGAAGACACCATCCGCCTGGTAACTACCATCCCTCAGCTCCACTTACTGAAAAGAGAGAAGTGCGCTGACTCTGCTTATTTCACCAAATCTCTCTCTCTCTTTCTCTCTCTCTCTCTCTCTCTCACACACAGGCGGTTAGGTTAGAGAGTGCCTACCCCCAGTGTACACGGTACATGGTAGTGGTGTCCACCAATGGCAGGCAGGACACTGAAGAGAGTGTGGTCCTTGGCATGGACTTCACCAGCTCAGACCGGTCAGTGTCTCTTACATGGTCAACTTTTATCACACCTCTTTATCTTGCTATGATAGCTCTTAGTCGTTCTGTGAGCTAGAGGCTTATGTTTTCTGGTATGTTTCCTGTAGCCTGTGCACCGTTGGGCTGGTTTTACCCCTGTGGAGCGACACTCTGATTCACTTGGATGGAGATGGGTAAGGAGGCGCTCACACCCAAGCATTTCCTTTGTTAGCAGTCTTAGATTGCACCACCAATACTGACTCTGTTTCTGTGTCTTTACAGTGGCTTCAGTGTGTCCACTGCTAACAGAGTCCATGTCTTCAAGCCTGTGTCCGTCCAGGCCATGTGGTGAGTATCACCATGACTTCCCTCTTCCACTGCCTCTTTATTTGACCTTTCTTTTACTCATTTGCATTGTTTTTTATTGCCTTTCTTTCCTCTTTCATTCTTACTTTTTCTTCCTGTTTGTCAGCTGGCTTTTATCTCTTCTTTCTGTCACTTAAGTTAGCAATGCACTCCTTGCCCTGTCTTTTAGATGCGAAGCACTTCATGGAACTTGCTTGTAACTCACTCATTCACTCATTCACACCCACACACTCACTCATGTTTAACAGGCTGAAATTCTCCACAAGGGCAGCACTTTGAGCAGTCAACTGGCTTTTGATGCTTCATAAGAGAAGTGCTTCGGATCAATGACGCTGTGCCTTTGTTTTGTCCTTTTTCCTCTTTCAAGCTTACTCTTTCTTCCCGTTTGTCTACTTGCTTTTTTCTCTTATGTCTCGCCTCTCGTTCTCTGTCTTTTCTACCCCGCTTTCTTACTCTTTCTGACTCAGTTCTCTTTCTCTGTCTCTTTCAGGTCAGCCCTGCAGTCTTTGCACAAAGCATGCGAAGTAGCACGGTGTCATAATTACTACCCAGGCAGCCTCTTTCTGACGTGGGTAAGCTACTACCAGAGCCGCATCTGCTCCGAGCAGCACTGCGTCAACGAGTGGAATGCCATGCAGGACGTGCAGTCACACCGCGCCGATTCACCTGTGCTGTTTACCGACGTGTGAGTGCATGCATATGTGCACACATACATGTACATGCCACCCACATGGAAAAACCCATTCAAAGAAGCTGTCAGATATTGGAAACCTTGCTGTTGTTGTGCCTAAACAGGGATTATCTGGAAAGTGGCACATTGGTTCATCATTTACTAAACATTACTCCCCCTCTTGTCAGTAAGGGTTTTGGGGAAGTTTATGTTCCCAAAACATGACAGTAAATGGCATCCAGCTGAAGGTCTCATGATCATCTTATATTGTGACCCTCTATATATGCACTGCTGTTTTTACCCAAGTTGCTGTAGCAAAGTATCATAAAAGTTTGCAGACATGGCAGTGCTTAAAGGATATGGCCCAGACACTTATTTATGCTGGTATCATGAGGGGGGGATTTTCCCCATGATTGAAAGTATTCCCACGTGCATATGTTTTTAACTTCTAACACACACGGCCAGGGCTTTATATAGCTCCTCTTGGATACGGCTTGATTTACAGTCGGAAAAAAGCATGGAGACGGGTAGGTAGACAGACACACGGACAGATGGAAACAGGTGCTCAGAAAAGAAACTAGCTGAAGAAGATGGATGAAATATTGGGGGGGGGGTTGGCTGGAGTTAAGGTAGACTAGACAGTTGGTTTGGAAAAGGAGATATACTGAGTGGCCTTGGTTTAGGGGAAGGAGGTCAGAAGGTGTTTATTTTCCTCGAGAGGAAACTCTCATCAGGTTCTTAAGTTCTGCTGAAGCAACTTTGGGCACATCACAGTGTTTTTAGCTACAACTCCTGTAGGGCGGGTGAGGAAGTCAAAACGGCGGGTATGTTTGTCAGCTAGGCAAACGCTGCAAAACATACAATGGGATTGAATTTGGATCCTGTTGGGCTTGCTGCCAAAGGTGAAATACCGGCCTTCATGATGGTTTTGTCTCCATTCCTCAGCCCACATGCTATCATTTCGATAGTTCTGCTTGTTTGCTTTCAAGCTTTTTCAGTGTGCGTGCAAGCAGTGTTCACATAGGAAATTCAGTGAAAGAGTAACCCTACACCGCTGCTTCTCAGTACGGCCGAATTAATGCAAGTAACCTGGCTCTTTCTCAGGCACTAGATAAAGTGTTCACACATAAACAAACATGAGAACATGAGGCAGTCAGGTGGACTTCACGCAAAGTTGCATAAACACCATTGCATGCACTTGCTGACACTTACTGAGAAAGCTGACCTACATTGGCTGCTGTTATTTTAACTTCACTTGTTGTTTTTTTTTTTTTTAAATAAAAGATCTCCAGTAAGAGCTGTTAGCTGAATCCCCTCTTGTCCTAATCAGTGACCCAAACAGGAGTAGCCACTGATTACCTAATTTTAGTACCGATACTCTGTTGTTGAACTGAGTAAAGTCTCATTTTGGAAAGGATTAATTTCACACCCAGGAATCTATGTCAAAGGTTCTGCCTCTTCAGACTGACAAATCTATGCCTCCATATTATCCGTGTCATATCTCTGATGTAAAACCTCACATATCTGAAATGGTAATTTTACAGGAGAAGGAAAAGAACTTTATTAACTTTAATATATGTAATGGTAAAAAAGCAATATTCAAAGTCAATGTAAGACATTTTTGTCTCTCCATTCTTCATGAAATGCTCACACTATGTGAGTCAGCTCGTATATTCAAATTACTTTAAAAAATGTATCGTTATTAAGTTATGAGTTTTTGATGTGATGTCAACGATATTTATAAAATTACTTAAACTTGTTTGATGATCATGAAAGACTACATCTTTTAAAAGCAAGCTGCTATGTCCTCTGTTGTTTGAACAGGCCAACAGAGAGAGAGCGCACGGAACGACTCATAAAAACCCGCCTGAGAGAGATCATGATGCAGAAGGACCTGGAGAACGTCACTTCTAAAGAGGTATGCACATAACAGCTGCAAAGGCAGGTTTTCCGGGGCCACAGATGTTTACACACAAACTTTTGAACTCTCATCTTCTGTACCTCAATGTAACTGATTAGATTATGCGAGTGGACTCTAAGCTGCACTATCTCTATTTTGGCCGAGTGAGTGAGTACTGGTGTTTGGTTGTCCTGTGCTGATAAGCTGGTCTTTTTTGTTGCCCTTAGATCCGCACAGAGCTGGAGATGCAGATGGTGTGTAACTTACGGGAGTTCAAAGAGTTCATTGACAACGAAATGATAGTCATCCTGGGCCAGATGGACAGCCCCACAGAAATCTTTGATCATGTGTTTCTGGTGAGGGTCTTCTCTTCTCTGTTCTGACCCCAGTAACTGTATCAAAGTGTTTAAATCCCAAATTGTACTGTATAAACGAGAGTGAACTGTAATGTCTCTCTCTTGCTGTAATACAGGGTTCAGAATGGAATGCATCCAATCTGGAAGAGCTCCAGAGCAGTGGGTAAGTACCATTGTTTTGGACGGCTAGTTCAAATCAATACATCCGGTCTGCTTTTGTGAACTCATTGTTAATTTTATCCCTCACCTCCCCCCCTACAGGGTTCGTTACATCCTAAATGTGACACGAGAGATTGATAATTTCTTCCCTGGTCTTTTCGAGTACCACAACATCCGAGTGTATGACGAGGAGGCCACCAACCTGCTGGAGTACTGGAACGATACCTGGAAGTTCATCTCCAAAGCCAAGTATGGGTTTAGGTTCTTTATGGCCACAAAAAAAACAACGTAGTAATGTATTAATTCATATACTGAGTGTAGATGTGTGCTGTGTTTGTTGTAGGAAAGCAGGGGTGAAGTGTCTGGTGCACTGTAAGATGGGTGTGAGCCGCTCAGCCTCCACTGTGATAGCGTACGCAATGAAGGAATACGGCTGGGATCTGGACCGAGCCTTTGAACATGTAAAAGAGCGACGTTCAGTCACTAAACCCAACCCCTCTTTCATGAAGCAGCTGGAGGAGTATCAGGGCATCCTGCTGGCCAGGTACTAAACTGCATGCATATATACAAGCAACTCCAGTGCACATTCACAGTTTAGGACTCCTTTTTTGCAGACGCAGAATTAAAATCTATATGTACAGCTTTAAAATGGGTGGCATTGCCAGACTAAGAGTAGCTAGGATTTGTAGTGGTAAAATGCCATTGGTATTACAGTTTCTTCCAAGGCTAGGTTTATTGTCCACAAAACTGGGTCTAAAACAATAAAACCAGATGTCAGGGGAATTCCAGGACCAGGGTTGGGAAATTCTGTCTAACACGTTTTCTGTTATAGTTTTTGGAGCAAATCTGATGCCCAGTACATGTTTAGAGCCAAGCTACTGCACATTTTTATTTAATCCGTTATTGTACATAGGGAGCAGCAGGACATCCTGCTGATCTGGTATTCTCTGAGCTCTTTTTCTCACGCACACGCCCGGTGATTTATTCACCACAAAGGACACCAATACTGACACACTTGTACACAATGAAACAAGATTACCTTTAGTTTACTCTCAAAAAGGGTACTGTTGACTGGGATGGGACTTTCCATTGAGGGTTTGCTTAAGGGTTTTCTGCATCAACACTGAGTAGCTACAGTACTGTGAGCTTGTTACGTATGAATTATGTGGGAGTTGTTGTGTATCTTTCCGTAACGCTTTGATGTCATGTTTACATTTCTATTCATGCACAAGTATTCCTCTTTCCGTTTTTTGACAGAAGAAGGTCAGGACCATCAGTGTCTCACCTTTCTTATTTTATACTTTTTTCCACCACAGTGACATTTATGACATACGAAAAATGCGAGATAATTGTGCTGTGATTCTATAAAAGTAATAGTTCAGTGAAAAATCAAATCAACACACTTTTCCCCCTTACTCCAAAAGGAATTCATCAGCCATGACATGTTCGGCTTCTAAAGTTTGCTTCTGTAGGTTTGCACTGGAGCTACGAGGCTAACGTAGCTGACAATAAATTGCAGCTCATACCACACATTTGCCTCAAACTGTCAAGTTGTTAATTAATCACAAATAGTGTTTCTTACACTGTATGACATACTGTTATCTTTAAGAAGTGGCAAAAGTAGCATACCTACAAGAGCAGTAAGAGCTAGGCCTGAAACCTGAATTTTGTCCAGATTTTTTATGAGAGTTTTTCCCCTCGACAGCAAGTTTAGCAACGCCCCCAAGCAGTTATTTACAGTAGTACAAGTTCAAGCTCTCTCTGCTTAAACTGGGAGAGAGCTGTAAACCTGAAACTGGAAGCTACAATAACATTTCAAAAACATATTTGTATCACTGGTAAAATTTTGACAAAGTTGCGTAGTGTTTGGCCCAATTATCAGGTGTTTCACATTGTTCTGGCAACTGTGCATGTGTTTATCTTTATCACAACGGAGCGGGGGGGCTTTTATTGCTTTTGTTTTTATCTACAAGGCAGTTGGCTCCTGAAGGGTGGGACTTTGCGTAATGCAGCCGGCATGTTGAGTGTTATGAGTTATCCCATTCATACATAAGCCAGTGAACTGTCTCCTCCTCCTATTATAAAGTCTCTGTATTGTCTTAGTGGCCAGTATGTCATAGAGTTTATTTATTTGAGATTATGTAACAGCTCCGCCTTGCTTAATGCAAATGTGTTCCTTTCCTGTACTAACACAACCTCCATCACTGTCTCCAGCAAACAGCGGCACAACAAGCTGTGGCGGTCTCACTCTGACAGCGACTTGTCCGAGCAGCAGGAACCTCTGTGTAAAAGTCCACGCACGCTGGGCCGTTCTGACCCCCACAATCACCACCACCACCTCAAAAACAGCAGCCCCCCATCTATCCAGAACATGCTCGGTATGGCTGTACTGCAGACTCTCAACGGGCCACGGCCCAGCGCAGACGACCCACACTCCAACTCCTCTGCCATCTCCAGTGGTCCATGTCAGTCTAAAGTGGAAAACCTCCATTCTGAGCAGAGGCACGAGGACCCCTTGCTGCCTCCTCTGCCTCGGCCACGGGCAGCCACCGTGGTGCCTGAACAAAACATAGCAGAGAGCAGCGGTCTGAAAGTAGCAGTGACTGTGCCTATCGCTCGCCCTCACCCTCCTCCCTCTCTCCATATTCTCACTCCCTCTGTCACTCCTTCTCCACACACCCCCAAGCAGCCCCACGCTGTGTCAGAGCCAAAAACAGACTCTGTTGAGCCGTCCCTGGACATGCCTGTTCAAAATGACTCTTGTCAAACCTCCCAGTCTTCTGGGACTCCGAGCTTGGCACTATATCTGGATACTGTGAGGACTGTGAGCACTACTAGTGAAGCGGAAGGCAATTTAGCATCTCCAGGGACGCCTATGGCCATCAGCCCCTCGGGGGCTCCTCTAGCGCTTGGACTTCCTTCTAACAGTGACTCACAGAGCTCCAGCAGTGGAGCTGAGCCTGCTCAGAGGACAGCTAGTTCAGTGAACCCTGCCTTCTCCAGTCTCAGCACTGATAGCATCGACTTCTTCAGCGCCAGAGAAAAGTTCCTGGGGCTGTCTCAGGATGGCCAGACTCGCCAGCTTTCTGAAGTGGCGGCTCCGCGCGCTGTGCACTCCCGATGCTCCAGCCTGTGCCTGGAGGAGACCAGCTCATCTGCAGTAGAGGAGGTAAGAGTGCCATCATACTCAGCACAGCACTCAGTCTGTACACATACAGTTTGACTGGGTTTGCTAAATTGCTATTGCAAATGATGTTTCATTCCAGCTCAAATTAGGGCAAGTCAAATTAATGCAGTACTGCTGCCTACTGGATACTTGGAGAATTACTAGTGTGCCAGCCCCCACAAAGCTGTGTTACAATATAAGCCCTTTCTATAAGGGTTTTGGGGTAAAGCTGATTTCTTAGCTATTTGTCTTCAACTTCACCATGATTGCATCACAAAATAGAAACAAAACAAAACAAATGGCCAATAAAGAAAAGTCTTTTATAGAATAGAAAAAGCCAGCTATCAACATCAGATGGCAGATCTAAAATTCTCTGCAACATATCTTCAGAATGGCTTGTAGACATTTGCATGTTTGGTAACTACTCACTAATGTGAGAAATGTCAACGATCACTAACCTAAGATGTTTTCTATTTTATTCCCTTACATTGCTGCTGTTGTTGTAGCAGCATTCTAACCCATGCTTTCTCTCTCCCTCTCTCTCTTTCAGTGTTCCTCTCCTCCAGAGAGTGCCTGTGACAACGTAGCTCTGCCCACTGCATCAGCCCACCTTCACGACAATGGCGTGTCCGTGCGGCACATGGTGACCTCACTGGAGTCCATCGCGCACACTCAAAGCCCTCAGCACCAGTCCCCACTCCATGAGCAGGAGGAGGTGAAGAAAGAAGAGAGGACGTCGCTCCCTCCCTCCCCCTCCACACCCCCTCGTGAACAACCCATGGGCTCCGTGCGTCGTGCCACAGAACAGCTGGAGCTGAGGCTGCGGCAGGAGCAGGAGAGTGTCCCTGTCCGCTCCCCTCTACACTCACCCTGCCCCGCTAGCCCTGATTTGCAGCCACCTTCTGTGGACACTGATTCTGTCCGGACTGCAGAACACATTGATTCCGTCCAGACCACAGAAGGACAAATAGAAGATGTCCGGCCGTTGGATGACGAAGATTCGGGGATAATCCCTGACCCGTGTAGTTCCTTCTCCACATATCATGAAGTGAGTGCTTCAGCGGTCACTGTGAACCCCAGCTTGGAGCCTAGCTCTGCCTCTTCCTCCCTACTGTGGTTGGAGGGCATCACTGAGCTGGAAAGTGATGCAGATGACCCACTCAGGCCGAATGGGCGTCTGGCCCGCAGCAGCCAGGACCTGCAGAAGATCCAGGAGACCCTGAGGGAGCTGCAGGCCTTTCTGTATGAGGCTGGGGGACTGGCCAACCAGGCTGACGCTAAACAGCAGCTTGAAAGCAACCAGAGCAAGGCAGAAGCAGAGCAGCGGGCAGAGCCCAAAGCTCCAGCGGTATGGCAGAGAGCCATGGAGATTGAAGCAAGGCTCAGACAGGCTGGGCTAACCCCGCCCTCACTCATGAAGCGCTCGGCCTCCCTGGCCAAGCTGGACCAGCTGGAGCTGTCCATGCACGACCTGAACGACTGGGACTTCCACCCTGTAGCCCTGGGCCCTGGGCCGCCCTCCTCCCTCTCTCATTCTCCTTCGCTTGCTCACTGTCCAGACGATGCCCATAAGAAGCAACGTTTTCTACCTCAGAGCCCCTCCAGCCCCCCGGCTGCTGCTCACCCACTGGAGGCCAACAGAACTGAAGGCTCCACCACCTCCTCGTTCTCGCACCTGCAGCACAGACAAGGGAGCAGAGCAGAACATGCCTCTGCTCCGCCTGCCATCTCAGTCTGCACACGACAGCAGCAACAGCAACATGCCAAGCCGCACCCGGCGCGGCGACTGCGCAAAGCAGCGGACAAGAAAAAGACAGTTACCGTGCTGTACAATACTATGTGACCCGTACTGAACTCAATCAGGGTAGGAGTGTACCTGTGTGCCATTGAGGCGGACTCTGGCCTGTAGATGTCAGGATCTGTGTGATCCATACCTAAGCTAAAACTGTGAGTCTATGCTACTGTATTTGTGTGCGATAGTATGAGTGTATGAGACTGTGCCCCCGATCCAACAGCTTTCGAGTATCAATGGAAAATAAGGTGGCCTGTTTCTTAAAACATGCACTTTACTTACTTGGTGTTTTTTTCATTTTTAATATTATTGTTTTTGTTCATTTTTTAGTTTGTTTTTATTTTGGAGCGTATGTTTTGCACTGATTTGAAGGTAGCCTGTCTGTATGTGTGTATGTAACTGTGCTGGCCTGGTTTTTGTTGGAGAACCAGAATGACTGTATTTTTTTTAATCTTGTGGCTATTAAATAAATAGAAAATACATACATTTTAACCATTTCTTCACTGTTTTTTCACTATATACACTTGCACATTTGACACTAGATCATGTTCTTGTTAGTGTATGCTCTTAAAGGGTACCACAGAGTTCTTTTAGCAATGTTATAGAAGAACCACTGTTTGTTTCCTTAAGAATCATATTTAAAAGAGATTTAAGAGAATGAATAACCTTTTAAGTGCTGGTCACTCAATCCATATAAGCAGCAAAACCAGGCTGTGTTGAATTCATTCTTTTTGTGACATCCCAAAATGCTATGCATTTACATATATCCACCTCTTTAGCCTGCAACAATTTAGCTCTGCCTGTTTATGTTGAAGTTATAAGGGGTGTTTCAGCAGACTGTATTTTGAACATGGGGCAGCCAATCAGAATTATGTAAATATTTACATAGATCAGTCTTAAAGGCACAGTAACAAAAACAATGTAAGCGATAAGGAGACACTGGAAAATGGTCATGTAGAAATTATAAACATGTTTTAACTGTTTTTGGCCTGTAATATGACACAAATGTCCAAAGAGGACCTCAAGGGAGAACCTAAAATGCAAGAAGGATGTGGGATATGGGTCCTACATAAAACTTTCTTTACTGATTTAAGGATTTTTTTAGAACCTTCACATTACGTGGAGGTTCTTTAAACGTTAAAAAGGTTCTTGACACTCATCTTTACAAAAATGCCATCCATTGAAAGGTTCTTTAAGAAACCAAAAGTAGTTCTTCTGTGGCATTGTGCAAGGCCCCTTAAGAGTGCAGGAAACAGTGCCGCTGTGTGAACAGATGTGGAACTGCGTGAATGATGTAATGCTATGTGTAGCTGGCAGTGAGTGACCTGCAGCTGTGTTCAGCTCTGCTTTAGTGCTGTCCATGCAGCACTGCACTCCCTCCACATCCCCTCACTGGAGCTCAAGCTGCACACTTTATTTAATCCATGACAGCTTTACTGCCTCTTTTCATCAGCTAAACAGCAGTAGCCACAAATTACTGAAAACAATGCACACTAAAATAGGAATTACTTTAAAGTGGTGGTTTTATTTCGAGAATGTATACTGCAGATGCCAAGCCGACGATACATCCGTACCGTTTATTTCAGGCATGACTGAAAACACTAATTTCAGCAGCTTGTAAAATAGACTCTTAAAACTGAGAGAGTAATCAAAGGTTCACTCAACCACATTTGCTAAAGGTATTTACTCAAACATCAATTAAAGGCATTTACTCAAACATGCTTTCTAATGCAGGATAAAAACTCTTTATTAGCAATGCTGAAATTCTGCCCACAGTTGCCAAATCTATTCTCAGTTAAACTCCCTCGTCGTCCGTCATTCACACATACATTTATAATCCTTTGCTCTGGCACTCTGATGCCCAGACTGTGTCTGAGCTGTTTGTGAATTCTCTTCACAGCTACAGCTTTGACTTCTCTGGCTGGTTAATGTTATTCATTGAAGTTGACTCACCACGCTGCCAAAGCTCTCTGCAGATTGCTGATTCATACTGAGATTGGTGGTGTTCTGCTTGGCTTTCGTTGCAGTGCTTTCCCAAACCTCCAAAAATAACTGGAGCAAAGGCCTTTTTGGTGCTGCTGATGAGGCTCTTCTCACGCTCCTTCATGTTGTAACAGAGAGGTGATATGGGCCAGTTGAAACTACTGAGCAGCAGACAGAGGGGCTTTTTGAGCTGTCCCCCCCCAGGACTGCTTTTAGTGAGATCTTCTAACAAACTCTGTTACAATTACCACATTGAAATGACACATTTATTTGAATATATAGTGCATAAGACATGGCACTCTTTTTATCAGTAGACTAGAAATTGGGAACCCCAAGAAAAACTAACTGTGGGATCATCAATTTGAAGTTAGAAGACTCTCTGTAATGTTTTGCAAACCTTTCCTTACATCCTGACAGCAAAAAGTAAAATACTAGCTCAGAGAGAAAAATCTGGGGTCTGTAGTTGCCCTAAGCTCTGTGAATGGAAACAAACGATCAACCTTCAACCAATGAAGACAAGAATGCATCTCTACTTGCCTATCATCCAATCAGAAAAAGGAGGTGTACCTACTTGCTTGTCAACCTATCAGGGCATGAATGCATATTTACTAGCCTCTCGACCAATTAGGACAAGGAGGTATATTTAACCTGTCTTTTAACCAATCAGGGCAAGGAGGTGTATTTACTTGCCTAATCAACCAATCAGGACAAAGAAGTGTATCTACTAGCCTATCAACCAATCAGGACAAGAATGCATTTCAACCTTGCTCTGCTGTAGCTAAGTAGTAGCGAATGTTAGTCTTACTTGGTTATCTAGCTGCCACAGGTGCCTGCAAACAGTGTCAACTAGTGTGTGCTGCTGTGCTAAAAAATCTAAAAAATTAGCTGGATATATTAACATATCTGAAGCAAACTACATGCTCCGACGGAGTCGATCCAGGAAGTGTGATGTCAGGTAGCTGGTTTTTGTGTTAACTAATCTCAGCAGGGCAAACAAGCTGCGTCTGTCTTGGAAGTCAGCCTGGGTGACGGGACGATGTAATATGGACAAGTAACATGGTCAAGATACAGCGGGAAAACTTTACTGTCACGAAGCACACGAAAGTGCGCAGCAGTCACTTTACACACAGTGGTTTTGTTGAGGGCACGTCTTAAGAAAGTATTTTCTGTACAGCTTAAGTATCCCGGTCGTTAGCTGAGTTATGAAAACTCTCCTGTAGCGACGGGAAAACGGCCTGTGTTTTAATACGTAAACTATGTGGGCGTGGCTGTGGAAATCATGTACAGTCTGAAGTTTCTCCAGCAGGGAGCGCTATTAGCAGGTAAGTCACCATAACTCTGCGCATGAAGAAGCTCATGTTTGCAGTTATATTCATTATAACGACAGGTGGTGTAGCTGTAGCTTTAAAAAGATCTTGGCTTATATTATTTAATGTGTGTTTTTATTAAAGATTTTCGTTTAAACAGTTTAAATGTTCAACAAAGCATATACAGAAAAACAGAATATAGCTGAAGTAGGTCAAAGCTGCAGCGGACGGCGTGTAGTTGTCATCTATATAGTCATAGTCGATTATCACGATTTTTAAATAGAAAATATCGTGCTAATAATTTGTAGATGTCGCCCAGGCCTGCTTGGAAGTGGGACGTCGGACCTCGGAACTGTGTCATTCCCAACCTCCACGCGTTTAAGCTACGAAGTGGGAAAACAGGGACACCTCCATCAAAACGAGAGTTGTTATCAACACGCCAGCCAGGTAACGTTGTGTGATATGAGTGATGCTGTATTCACCTTCTCAAACAAGCGAGAGGGGGCGTCGAGGGGGCGTTTTCTTTGATTTTTCCTAGTCGTATGTGGGAAATGTTAGTTACAAGCTTCGGTTGAACGCAGAAGCTGTATGTCTGCTTATGTCAGCATCCTGTTTTTGACTGTTGATCATATCTAATTCAGCAAAAACCAGCTTTCAGGTGCTCTAGCTAGGCTGGCCTGCAGGATGTGTGTGTACATGGGGCGAGGACTCTGACGGCCGGCTGAGTTTGTTTGGTTGTTGATTTTCAAAATGGCAAATTTGAGAACACTGTCCTGTCCACTGGTGAGTACAGTGTCTTGCACTTGCAGTCGGTGAGGCTGTACACTCTTTAAAAAGTAGTTATTTTAAGGGTTCTTTAGTAAGAAAATGGATCCATATAGAACCATTAACACTTAAAGAACCCTTTGCCCTCAAAGTGCCCTTATCCAACATGAAATCCTTCTGTTTGTCCAGTGGCCAAAATCTTCCCTGTGTGAATAATGTTAACGTTAGTGCTTTAAACTGACTTATTCTCAATTCACAGATGCATGTCAGAATTTTGTAAAAGCAGTGTATTTTTGAATAATTACATTTTTAAAATTTTAAACATGCTTTAATAATATAATGTGCTGCCTTTTTCTAAATTTTTAGATTTTTTTTTTTTTTAATTTTTACTTCTACGCACATACATATGCTACAAGTAGACTACACAGTCATACGCAAACGTTATGGCCTTATGACCAGGCTATGACGTGTTTTGTTGATTTTCAAAGTGAAAGTAAATTAACTCGTCATCTACAGAGAACACACTTCTGCACAGTTTAATATACTGTTACTGTTTACTTGCTGAATTGTCACATATTGGAAAGCTGAGCAACTTTTTATTTATAAATGTTTAACTAAATAAATAGATATTTTAAAAAAATCTATAGAAAATTCCATATTTTAGTGTATTCTCTGTAGAAGATGTGCTGACTTATTTTCATTTAGAAAATCAACAAAACATGTCACTTGATTGGGGTATTTAAACTTGGGCATATATCTGCATGAAACCAGCATCATAGACTCTTATTCCTGTATCACTGTTAGCACTGACCCATCAGCATCCATTTACGATTCCACACCCGGTATGAAATGACATTTTCCTTTATTCAGTTCTCTCTTTTTAAGTTACAAATCTGAGCAGCGTCATTTTAGGCAGTTCCATCACATCATACGGACACCATAGCGATACTCCACATTCATATCAGGTTTAAATAAAAACAGTGAAATATTGTCATATTGTTTTAATATTTAAGATATTAAAACACTGAGTCACATCAAGCATTTCTATACACCCAAATCCATATAATCACTTGTTCCAGATCCTTAACTCTCTACATAACACTACACACAAATATACACATCCCTTTGTTTGACTGCTATACTGTTGGCAGCCCTTTGGTCACTTCATTTACTGGCTATATAGCACAGAACCCGAATGCCTTGTGTAAAATTGTGCTTAAAAGGAAAAAACATTCTGTTTCACTATTGTTTAGAGTTCCAAATCGGTTAAGGAACGGTCTATGGCCTTGTCTCCGATTTTATTATTCAGGCTCCACCATCAAACAAGTTCAGCCAGTCACTTAGACCCAGATTGTCAGACTACAGAGAAAAACTCTTAAAAAGAGGTTCTCCAGATACATTATTTGTCGTCAGGATGAGGCTGTTATCTGGATCAGAGAAACTAGCCCTTTTGGTTTTCTCCCTGCATCGGTGCACCTGGTTGGACCTTCCTGCTTACAGTCAGGCCACTGATTGGCTGACTCAGGTGCTCCCAGCACTGTGATAGGATAAACAGGTTCTAGACAGTGGGTTCTAAAGGAATATGTTGGGAAGCACTGCATGGAAGCCACAAAAAAAGGAACTGACATAGGAAGGGGGCTTAATCACTAAATCCAAAAAAGAGAGAATGTATGAATTATGCTTTCAGGGAAAAGACATCAATTAACATAAAGTGATAGGAAACACTAACATAGCACCATATTTCGATATAGTACATACATTAAAATGTATGTTTTCTGAGCTGTTTGAGATCATATTCATGACACACAACATAAGTATTGCAGTGAGGGTCTGGTTCATTGTTTACACCTCAGATTAACCTACTAGACCTGAAAAAATGATTGGAAGCCTGTTGCTAATTTGATACTACGCTGTTCAAGCCTATCAGTTACAACGTCACAATGCAATCTCGCACACTCTGGTTCAAAACTTGCTCTTGCTTTTAGAAATAAACTAAAAATTAAGCTGCATGGGGTGAGGTGGACAAGTGAAGAGAGGATCATGCTGTTTCCATCGTGCACAGAGAATAGGTGCCAACAATCCAACTCCACAACATAAGGCCAGTGTTCTCTACATTTACACATTTCATTAACTTTCTTAAGCTTTCTATTACAGTGCAATCATTTTTTTTTGTGCAAATTAAAACCAAATCTTATTTACCAATTCCATAAAAAAGTGATGGTTTTGTAAACCTCTCTCCCTCTGATAGAGAGTCTAGGAGGACTTGAGCCTCATTCTCAGTGGAGCTCTGGATAATGGCTTTATGAGTGATGCTGAAGTCTCCAAGGCAGCTCCAGTCTTCTTTACTTGTCAAAAACAAAACGTACACACACACATTTGCTGAATAGCCATGCACCAGTCTGGTGCCTGCCAGTTGATTGCCCATGAGTTGAATAGCTTTTGTGGTTGTAAACTTGTAGAAAGTGGACAGAGACAGATCTCTGTGATGCTGTACGGACGTGGTCAGCCCTACTGAGCTTTGTGCCTCTGGCAGGTCGCTAGAAGAGGAGGGGCTGGGCATCGGAGAGAATCGCAGTTCTTACTGGGCTGTTGCTGCATACGCCCTCCCACTATTTTTAAATTCCTGCTTGCTGTGATTACTGTCACTTCTCCATGAGTGACAGCTGTATGATGCGCTGGAGCTCCTCCTCCTCTTGCCTCTGCCGGAGCTCCGCCTCTTCCTGTTCGCGTGCGGAGAGCTCCATGGCTAGTCGCAGCTGCTCGTCGTAGCTGCGTGGCGGCTTAGGGGTAGGAGTGCGGGGACTGGCCACCGCGCTGCTTTTGTGCTGGGGTGTTCTGGAGGTGAGAGAGAGCATTCAAGTTAATTTCTTAGCACAGCTGCTCAATCATTATATGGCAATGTTCAACACAGAATCCATCATTTTGTGAAAAATTTGTTTATCTGAGTACCTCTACTATGATAATGCTAATTTTTGCTAGCATGGGATCTATGTGAGTGCAGACATGTGAATACATTCAAGCTGCATGTCCTTAACTTTTGTGGTAATTTTACGGTAAATATTTAAACCTTCTTAGCTGAATATTATTGGTTTGACTGCCCAGCTGCTCAAGCTAGACATAGTTAAATAACATCTTTTGCTTCCCATACAAGCATTTTTTAACTGAAAACAAAGATGCATTTGTGAGATCCTGCTGATGTGGGTTTCCTCTCTTTCAATGATGCACATAAAAATTTTTTTCAGAGAATCTTCAGCCTGCCAAGCATGGTTTTATTGTGACCTGAGGACATCCTAATCACTGTTAATTATCATTCAAATTACGAACTAATCTTTGCAGATTCGTTTAAAATGTACATTTTAATCATTTTTTTTATTGAGTTATCGATGACAGCTCTACATACAATGGATTATAGCAGGAAGTTAAGTATTGTGAAAACTACATGCCAAAATCACCACACACTTGCCTCAAACCACACCGAGTAAATTAATCTTTAATAGACATTTGTGTTGTTTTTTTTTTTCTTGCTTTCTGAACCACTGAAGCATTGAAAGTATGTTGCATAGCTAAAAATCAGTAGTAGCAGTGACCAGGAATCCTATTTTCTTTTCGCTTTTGTTCATTTTTATTAGTAACAACCATGCAAGTCTATTTGAGACCACTAGACATGGTTTGAGACAATTGTGTGAAGATTTCGGCTTGACGCTAATTGGTGAAATATAAGCTTCCATTACTTGGTAGCCACATTAGAATGTAGCTCCAGTGCAAAACTAAGAAGAAACATTGTCTTGGCTGATTCACTAATTTTGGAATAATTATTCCTTTAAGACATTCTTCACACTTGCTTTAGACAAGAATGTTGAAACTGTCTATGAAGAGCAAACAGAGCTGACGAGAGCACAACAGAGTCAACTTCTATGAGGTTCACTATGTGATGCCAGAGAATACTGACAGTGGACCTGTGTTAACAGTTACACTATATGCGGTGGTGAATAAGGGCCTGACAGTGGTGGCCCTGAGACTACAGGGAGGAAGAGATACTGACTGCAGACCTTTCCACGCGGCTGGGGTCACAGGAAAGAGGGTGGGTTCCTGGCTTACTGTTCGTCAAAGCCTCCCAGATAGTCACCTATAGAGAACACAGTAGTAAACAACAGTAAACGGACATGGTATGGTGAATTTGTATTTGTGCATTTGTCCGATGGCGTGTGATGTGGGTCTCGCCTGGTCGTATTCAGAGCCTGCCTCCAGTAGACTCTGCTGAATGGCAAACTGGAGCAGATCATCCTCTTCCTCACGCATATTCTCTCTCTGATTTCCTCCCAGCATACTGTAGCCACGTGGAGCCTCAAACACACACGGCGGAATCTCGCCTCCACGACACGAGTCTGAGGTGCATACACACACACCCACATACTCTAAAGGCATTTACTGTTGACTCAATGCAGTGGTGTAAAAGACAGAATACAGTCACTGCTGAATTTTCTTTGAACGTATGTAATGTAATTCCATTCAACTGCTAAGCACGAGCTTGGTGTGAGTGAATTTGTGTTCTCCATCACATTTACTGTGTCCCAATTGTATACTACATAATAATTTCAACTGCTTCTTTTTGAGATACAAAATGTAGTTTTTTTTTTTTTAAAGTTGTGTATTCTCAAAAAAAAAACATGCATCTTTTGAAGTCAGCAATTTTAGTGCATTGTGTTAACAGACACAATTGTCCTACAGTGCAACGCAAAGTAGAAACAGAGAAGCTACTCACGGTTGGAAAATTTTGAAAACATGGCAGATGATGAGTTGACTGCTTCTATGATGAGTAAAGAAAACAATTAATGAAAACCAAAAGTAAACTAATAAGTCCATGACATAACAATTTGTTGTTTAAGTTGGTGGTAGTCTGCATATCCGCTGCTAGATATAACATAGATCGGCATAGTTTCCTGTTAATGAGTAGTGCAGTATCTTAATATTTTGTGTACAAATCTACCAGATTTTTACACCATTAACACGTGTACACAGCATATTGGGGATGAAAATTTTGGCAAATGCTTTTGACCAATAATCATGCTGAATACTCATTAACCGGCAAGTCTAAAATCAAAGATGTGACCCATCAAAATAATTATAAAAAGGTCAGTTCCAGTTGTGAAATCTGACTGCCTGAGCCACGTTGAAAGCCACTGTAAAATACTTGTGCAAATATGCACATCTATGAGAGCACACAACTGAATTCTGTATTAATGCACTATGTTATTAAAGTGTTTCTTATATTTACTGTCAAACTTGAGTAAGTTTAGTCATAAGTGTGTATATGGAGTGAAACTATATTAAACATACCATAACCAGTACCTGCCCCGTTTTGTTTAAACTGAGGGGTTGACAACTAAATGTTCATGACTGTATGACCAAAAACTAAGCTGACGAAATGACTGGAATATACAGTGATGAGCTACTGCTCTATATTCTGAAGTGGTAAAGTTATATTTACCAATCATTACTAGCTCAAGTCAAAAAGAACTGAAACGCCATGACTGGAGCTTTGGCTTAGTCTACCTCAGTAGCTCTCGAAAGCCAGTGCCGTCCATCACATCCTTCTCTATAGTTTCTGCACATCCATGTGTTATTTTCCTCACACTGCCATGGACCACACTTTGTCTCAAAGAACATGAGCAACAATCCCTTGAGTATGTTTGCTTTTTTTGCATTTTATATAATAGTATTGGTTGAACAATCGTTTATTTGTCGGTTAACATTTGTTTTGTGGTTAATCATTTACATCCCTACAGCATGTACATTATAGTATTAGTGTTTTAGTATACAATAGGGACACAATGATCAAATGTAATTTTGTGGCTTGTGCTAGTTTGAGTGACAGACTGGTGCTCACTGGTGGAGCTGGAGCTAGACACACTGGAGGAATCGCTGCCTGGAGACGGTGTCTCTGTTCTGGGGCTGTCCTTCTGTCCATCTTCTCCCTCCATCCTGCCCACTACCCCCTCCTCACCGCCGTTCAGGTTCTCAAAGGTGATGCGGGCATTGAGAATGTGGTAGATGGGGATCTCTGAGGAGAAAAAGAGGTGAGGTGCATAGTAAAATTCAGTGGATTTTTATGACTTGGAGTTGTAACTTGGAACAGCCTGAAAAGTACAGTTTTGGGCCAGTGCTTACACAAAAATAAAGAATGCTTGGTGTCTAGTTCCAGCAAAGAGGCAGTTTAAAAAAAAAAATCTCCCTCCTGGGTAAGTTTAACGGTTATCTGTGGATAATGCAACCCATTGTTTTATATAAAACAATGTTTTTTATTTAAAATTATCTTTGAGTAGTTCAAGTATTCAGTGCCTATTTTGCTGTTGCAGTTTTTGTATATTTTGAATAAACAATTTTTTCAACACTGATCTAAATGATAAAATTTCAAGTTTTCTGCCTTTTTTCAGCACAAAACAGACAACAGAGAGACATCTTTTTATCTTTTTAACCAGAGAAAAAAAGCCAAACTAAAGTAAGGGGTCTAGATACCTGGATAACTACCTTGCTAGGTTTTAACTTGCTGTCCTCCTTATCTGATGTGCCATTTCTGTTATTTGAATAATACATGCTGTCCATTGTAATGATGATTTAAAGACAGTCACTACAGTTACACGGCTGCAATAAGACATTCTGCTTCTTAGCAGTAAAATTAGCTCTATGCCTTACTTCTACATGAATCAGTTACTGAAAAACAAAATTCAAAACAGACGGCTCCCAAAACCTCTGAGGTGCCTGTAGTTCTTACCACAGAGGTGCACAACTCCGGTCCTAGAGGGCCGGTGTCCAGCACAGTTTGGAGGCTTCCCCACTCAAACACACCCACTAAACTTGACAATTAACAGATAAGTGTAATCAGGTGTGCTGGAGTAGGTAAATCACCAAACTGTGCTGGACACCGGCCCTCCAGGACCGGAGTTCTGCACCCCTGTCTTACCACCTTAAGGATACATCACCAGAAGGGGGTTTTCCTAGACTTTAAACCAGATAATCTCACTCTAGAGACTACTGCAGCAGCGTTGCAGGATGTGAATAAGCATTGTTATAGCAGATGTAGCGAGGTTTGAATTTTTGGAGTGGGCCAAAAACTTTTTGGATTTTGCTGAACAGTATATAATATTACTGTACACTATACCCTCTTTCTCTCTCTCACCTATCTTGACAGGGAAGCCAGGGGGCAGACGCAGTGTGATGAAATCTCTGAGCTTGGCAAACAGAGCGTTGGAGATGGCCATGAGGTCTATGATGGGAGCCACCTGCTCGGCCAGCGACAGAGGATGAGACTCGCATAGCCACAGCTTGGCCTTGAACCTGAGAATGCAAGGTAAACGAAGTGCTTAAAGATACAGACAGGGATTTTTATAACTTTACAGTCATTCATACATTTGTACAGTTTTGTTTGCTGCATATGTGTAATATTGGTACATGTTTAAGCTACATTCAATATGGCAACAAATTTGTCAGTGCTACTGCAAAGGAGAATGGTTAGACTACCAAAGGACTGTGTTTCAGAGCTGTGATACTCATTAGCAGAGTAGATCAAAGTAAGCACCTCTGTGTTTTTGTGGTGAGGTGGCATGGCTGGCCAATGTCTTTGTGGCTCTGGTTCAGACTGGGGTTAAAGTATTCCTCTGCAGTAAGGGCACAGGGGTTCGTCACAGGGCACGACATCTGGGTAACCAGCGTCTGCTGTAATGCACACCAAAACAGCTCATACACAGACTTGCAGACTGGAATTAATCCCTGGAAGCCTAAGAACTTGTATTCGGGCCTTCACTTCAATTTCCCACTCTTATAAGTACATAAATTATGTATGATAGTTACCAAATAAATTATTGTATTGTAGTACCCTGACCTCTGGTGTTAACTATTCTTAAGAGTGAGGAATTGAAGTCTGCAGTTTAAGGGGATTAATATAAAGCCCTGTTTCAAGCTGGATTTGTTTTACCTGTAAAGGCACTGTACTGATTATCAACAAGATCTGCCATGAATCAATGTCTGCAGGTTTTACAAGTCCGATAGATGTCCTGTTCAAATCGACCTCACAGTAATGTAATAACAAGTAGACACAGTTGTGTGTAATTACATTACAGAATATCCTCTAGTAAAACTACTCCTGCTCCAATAGAAAGACAAACACAAAACCTTAATGTTTTCTATATTATGTCAGCTAAAACTGAATTACTTACTAATTTATTATTATGTTCAGTACTGCATTAAAGCGTACTCACCCCATTGTTAGTACCAATGTGCTGCTCTGCGATGCCGAGAAAGGACTGCAAGGGGGTTTTACCGCCTAAAAGATGGGAAACTTTACTTAAGGCCACACATAATCACTCACCCAAAGCTTTCTGGGCAACAGAAACAAACTGGGAGCCTTAACTGCCATTCCTCATTGAGGCTTACCGGACAGAGCTGCCATTACTTAGGAATATTGACTGAATTGTCCAGTTTGCCAATAATGCCAGTTAGCATTTACTACTGCTGAGTGTCCTCACTTGTTAAGAGTCATCACACCATGCTAATGCAGTAGGCATGGAAAACCTCACTTATGTGTTTGGGGAAAATACGAGAGCAGATGAGATTTCCACTGATTAAGAGCGGCTCAGTCTTGAGTCCCAGTAACAGTGTTGTAAATGTTAGAACTGTGATTAGGCACCAAGACAAGCATGTCTGTCAGGATACAGTCTGAGCTCAATGAGGATGTGTACTGGTACCTTTGGTTTTGGTTTTATGTTGCTCTGTGAGGTGGTCAGTCCGTGTGCGGGTGATGAGCTCTACGTTGGAGGCGCAATACACCTGGAACAGATGTACACAGACTGCATTACTGTGGGATTAGAGCGGAGGTATTCAAACAGTGGGGCGTGCCCGGTGAGAGCTGAGGCAGAAAATTGCAAAAAATAAATGTTTTAATGACTCGGTCATTAAACTGTGTGAAAAATGTGCTATCAAAACTGCAACAAGCTCCTCTGAACGTCTTCTAAAAGTGTTATATGAGGCATCATATCACATTGCAAAGGCAAATCAGCCATACTGGATAGGAGAGATCCCTGTTCTCCCTGCAACTATCGACAAGTATAGGGCAATGCTTTGCAACAGTACCGCTGAAAAGATGAAAACCAGATGCTGTCTGACACTACAGTGGCTTAGTGAATAGCAGATATGTCAGAAACTTTCCTCAAACAACTTAGTATCAATAACAAGCATCTGACTTCGTAATCCAGCTTTGAGGCTACAGACGTATGAATAATGCCCATTTGATTGCCTATGTGAAGTACATTGACTGTACTTGTCTGAAAGAGGATTTTTTATTCTGCAAATCAATTAAAAGACGTGCTACCAGAGCTGATTTGTTTTACGTTGTCAGTGATTTCTTTGCGACCAGTAATCTGATTATGAATAATCTCTGTTCATATGCAGAATAGAGAAGAAGATATTATTGTCATGTGCTGCTTTTTATTTAATTTTTTGTTAGCCAGTTAATAATAGACAATAAAAGTTCTGGACAAATGGCAAATGGGATGACCTGATTTTTTATTTTTTTTTTATTTTTTATTTATTTATTTTTTTTAAATATACATACGCTGCAGTACCAGTGCATATTGACAAGTCTATTTTAGTTGAGGGGACCTCAAGTTTTCAAAAAATACTGGCAAGGAGTAAAATGTTTGAATACATCTGGATTAGAGGTATTGCTCTGAAAACATTTCATTGTGGAAGAAACAAAAAAACGTATTCTTTAGGTGCTGGAAAAATGAAGATGTTCCAACATGTATGCTTTGTGTTTGATTTAGTTACGTGAAAAGGCCTGGCATTCCCTGTGATTCCACCTTAATAGATAAAACAAACAAGAGGAGTACATATGTTTTGTGCATTTGTTATAGATTTATTTAGAGTAATACTAGGAGCACAAGTGGTAGGGGGGTGGAGATGGTTGTATAATTTCTGGTCTGTTTGCCTTGTTCTGATCATTATATAGTTACATGCATGTACAAAACACACCAGTTGAGAGTGTATGTGTTCTGTGCGATTAAGCATAAATCCAGTACCTTGGCTTCATACCCATTCACCACCTCCGTTTTCTCGCTGCGCCAGCCAAGAATGCCTGTCTTGTTCCTGCAGAGAAAGGCAGATGCATTAACACAGGGCTGAGGACGTGCAGACAGAGGTGAGTCTATCACACTTTTTTTTTAATGAGGAAGAGTGCAGGAGTGCTGGCATGTGTTCTCAGCAAAATAAGTGTCAATGTGATGCAGCCAAAAAGTGATAATTCAAAATGAAGAGGAGGCCAATTCTATTGGTCTCTCTGTAATTTCCTCACTATGTCAGTATATTTCTGGGAACTGCCACAAAAGATGATGCCTTGACCAGAGGAACAGTGGAATGTAGCTTATACTTTCAAAATGAAGGCATATGGGTGCCTTTGATCTACAGTACAGTGCAAACGTGTGCCATTCATTTATTTAATTTCCAGTATAAACAGGCATTAAGAAGTTATTAATTCAACAGAAAAGCAAAAAACACATTCAAGTAAATTACACAGAAGCTTCAACAACAAAATTTTCAGTATTTAGTATGTCCCTTTTGCCTTTTCTTGTGATCTAGTGTTTATTGCGTTATCTGCAATGGAGCTATAAAGGTGTTTATTGTTTTTTACACAACAATGAACAGAATTACAGTCCAAGACAATGTGACCTACAAGAGATAGAGGAAAAAAAGACAATGATGATGATGATAATAATAATAATAATAATAATAATAAAAAACAAAAAAAAAAAGAAGAGGGGCAGATGATAACTTTAAAATGTATAAATTATCTAGGGTGGCAAAATGCCCTAGGACATCCCCTTGCCCTTATTACACCTAGAGTGCAGCTTGATTTCCCCTCTCTCTCGAAGATGAAAGTTTTTAGTTCTGTTTATGGTGACAGTATTTGTGTTCCATCATGTTTTGAACGGTTGTTAGGAGGCCCATTTTTGCTTTATCTTTTGATAATTTTTGTACTCCAGTTTTGAAAACTTTTTTTTTCCTCAGTTACTGTTATGTGACTTCCCTCTTCCTTATGCAAGTGGATTATCTTATATCTAATCTCCTCAGAAATATCTCCTCAGAATATGTTTTGACTGTAAGCGTCTCTGACTTTGTACAGTACTGTACATATAATCTCTACTTACCCAGGTTATTGAAAACAAAAGTTCTGTTCAATTATAACCTGTTATTTTTGGCTTACCTTTCAAAAGAAATGTTCCTTGTGTCTAGCTGTGTGGTGACCACCGGAGCAGAGAGGCGGGCAGCAACCTGCTCATCACTGGGCTGCAGCGCCCCCAACAGGCTGAGAGCGGAGGGGTGTGGCCGGGACGATGGAGACGAGGGCACACAGGGCAGCGTCTCACAGAAGACCAGCTGCCTGTCGTGGTCCACCTCCATCACCATGGCACTAGAGTCTAAGTGAATGAAAGAATGAGAGAGAAAGAGAGAGAAGGGGAGGAGAAGACAGACAAATGGACCCATGGTGTTAGTTTGGAGGTACACTAAAACGTTTCAGTGAGTGAGCACTAACTGAGCTGAACTTTAACACTTTCCAGGCCTCTGACTGTATATACACTTTGAAACACCTCCTCTTACATTTTTGGGATTTTTTTTCTCATTCGTGGCCCATTGAAAAAAGAAATTTGTTGAAAGTGCAGATATTAACCTTTAAATTGAAGGCCCAATTGTGCCTGCAAGTAAAGACATCTTTTATCAGGATATGAAATTGATGAAAAGCTATTGTTGGGTATACAGCCTTTATATTTGTCATGTTTTTGTTAATTTATGACATTGAAATGAAAGGAAAAAAGTCAGAAGTGCAGATTCTAATGAGTCGATCGATAGAATATAAACTGAATGTATATATAATTCACTATAAATTTACCAACTATATAAATAATCATGTACTTACACAGTTACATATAAATAATTCTGTAATGTGAATCAAAAGTGTAGCTAAATGAAAATAATACCTCTAGGGTTAAACGATAGCAACTGAGAGAAGTCTGAAAAAGAAAAAAATTAATGATTTGAATAAAAACAGAATAGGCAAGAATGTGGGAATGGAGGAAGAAAGCAATCAAACACCTTGTCCTCTGAAGATAAAGCTGCGGTTGCCTCTCTGCCAGGTCATCTGCTCAAAGCCCATGAGAGTGGTGTCCACTCGCAGACACTGGCCACTCTTCCACACACGATATGTATCACTCGGACAAATACGAGATACCAGCGGCACTGAGACAAAGAGATACAGACGTTAGCCAGGGAGAGAGAGAGTCACTGTACAGGCATTCTATAAAAGCTGAATTATTTATGACCTATTCTTTATTTATACAGGTAAAGTCCCATTGAGCTTTTGACCTCCTTTCAAGGCAGACCTGACAAAGTTATATGACCTACATTACACAGACAATATACTGGCAATTATAGCAAGAACAATTTTTAATGAAGTGCTGATCCAGTTGTTTTATGCACAGTATGATACTTTAAAAAATCAGGTTTCAGTGGTTTATTTGATCATTTTAAAACACTAATGCGTAACAAATTACATTCCTTATCTGATCTTACCAAATTAGTTCAGATAAATATAAAGAAAGCCTGAATACAGGTCATGGGACTGCAGAGACGTAGGAAATAAAGACATTTGCAATAATCTCTATAAAAATAAACTATAAAAAAGTATGAATCTGCAATAACATCATGAATCTTCAATAATAACACCATAAGGCACAAAGATGAGATTATAAGACAGGCCGTTACTTATAGCCCTTGGCACCAATCTGAAGGCCAACTCTGTAGGGCCATTATGAATTATGTCCAAAACTGGAAGGGACTTTAGGCTCATTTTAAAGGTCAATTAATAGTGTGGGAGATCATTGTGAAGCAGGCTTCTGCATGGGAGACATATGTCACGAATTATGATGACTGAGATATTTCACTATCTGCAATGAGTAACAGTACCTTTTCTTGTGTGGGTTTATGTACCATAATATATTCTTCTAATCATAATAAATTCTTACATGACCATTTTCCAACCTCTTCTCATCCATTAGAACAGGTTGTTCTTGCTACGGTGCCTTTAAGACTGATATATGTAATAGATCTCTGTTCTGACTGGCTGCTCTGCTCAGGGCTAAACTGCTGCAGGCTAAATAGGCAGGAACAAATGAATGTGTTGGTTTTTGCATCGAAAACTAAAGTCAAAAGGGGATGTTTCTGAAGATTAGTTTCCGTAAATGGACTCTATGAGCTGTGAATGTTAAGTATTGAAACTAAAAATGTTTTTACACTACATTAGAAGTTTTGTTCTCCTGTTATGCAGGTCCTTTAATAGTTAACATTAGCATGTAGCTGTTTAACTTAAGGTCATGCAATTACCTCAAGTAGTACAAAAGTAGTAAGGTGAGCTTATTGTGGAGTTGTGGAAAAAATGCAGGCATTATAAACAACCCAATTTCCAAAAAAGCTGGGACAGTGTGTGAAATGCTAATAAAAAAAAGAAAGCAGTGATTTAGTCAATTCTGTTTGACCTGTATTCAGTTGATAACAGTACAAATACACAATGTTTTATGTTTTTATTTTATGAACTTTATTGTTTTTTGTAAATATAAGCTCATTCCGAATTTGATGCCAGCAACACGTTCCCAAAAATGTTGGTACAGGAGCATGTTTACCACTGTTACATCACCTTTCCTTTTAACAGCATTTAATAAAAGTTTGGGGACTGAAGACAAACTGATGCAGTTTTAAAAGTGGACATTTTTGCCTTTCTTCTGTTATACAAGTCTTCAGCTGTGCAACCATACAGGGCCTTTGTCATCATATTTTGAGCTTAATAATGCAACACATTTCAGGCCAGTCTCTCACCAACTTTGATTACGTGATTATGCAGTAATGCTAGTGTAGCATGTACAGATTCAGTTGTGGTTTTCAGCCTTTTTCTTTATGCACAGAGACTTTTCCTGATTCCCTGAATTATTTAATATTATTATGCATCGTAGAGGGTGAAACACCTAAAATCCTTGCAATTTTTGGCTGAGGAACATTATTTTAAACCTGTTGGAGTTTTTGATGATGCACTTTTGGCAAAGTGGCAAGATCAACCTATCCTCACTCAAGTACTCCAAGTACTCGACCTTTCCTGGCTGCTCCTTTATTACCTAAACATGATTGCATTAACTGTTTAAAATGATTTTTTAAACATTTCACAATGTTACTAATCTTTAATTGCTCCAGTCTCAACTTTTTCAGAGGTACCAGTTTCAGAATTAACATATATTTACAAAAAACACTGAAGTTCATAAGAGAAAACATTAAATATCTTGTCTTTGTACTGTTTTTTACTCAAAAATTTAAGATTTATAAATCTTAAATAAATAAAAAAATAAAGCATTCTGTTTTTATTTGCATTTTACCTACTGTCTCAATTTTTTTGGAATTGGGTTTGTAATACAAGTAAATAAAAAGATAAAGAGTAAAACCACCTAAATATTACTGGACTGGAGAAAGATTGAGTGAGATTGAGAGAGAGAGAGGTAGCACAACAGCCAGGAAGCATCTCTCCAGATCTTGCACCTCTGAACAAGAATCTAACACTCCTATGGTGTTTTTCACTGGGCAGTACGGTACTGCATGGTACAATGGAGGAGCTTCAAGGGCTGATTTACCTTTTACTTGCTGTTTGGTTTTATGTGAGAGTCACAGACAGCAATTCTGACAAGCTAGTGTTTTTCTTTTTTTTTTTAAAATGGGCTTATCTAACTCTAGTGACACCATGTGACGATTCTGTGATGAATTAGTGCTTTGCACCATTACTAGCTCTATCCATACCATCTGGCTCGGCATGCTTCGTACCAGCATAAAGGGTAACAAAAGTTCAGCTCAGGAACTCAGGTACAGTATGGCTCACTGTGCCGTGTCAATGATGACAAAATGCATGATCATGGATTTATAACTGTATTGTACTGTACCACAGGTGCTGTGGAGAAGCATCATTAGAGAAAATGTCTTCCTGAAAGAGAACCTCTACAAGACTCAGCTTGCTGTTGCCCAACCAGTAATTAACCCCTAGTAAATGTATTTTGTGATTTTTTTTTTTAATGTACTTTTTAGGTACAGTCAAATGAAACAGCTGTGAACTGGTATCACACACGATTTGGGTTCTGTTAACAGTGTGAGTTTGGTGTAATCTGTGTTAATTTGGAGGAAACTGTGCTTTACATACCCCAGCTTGTAAACTCCCATTTCATCTCCACATAAAAGTCCTGAGCCTGAGAGAGAACAAAAAAAACAGAGAGAGGTGAGAGGGAGTGAAGGAGAGAGACAGAAGAGAAAGGGAATAGAGAGAGGGTTAACGTGCAATCACTCGTCTGTGAACACAGAGCGAGCTGGCGAGACACATCAGAGTATAAGGCAGACTGGGGGAGATATTAATACATTTCTTGTGGAGAGAGATGGCACATCCATCATCAACAAAAGGAAGTGAATTTCAGGAAGCGCCCAGGGACAGAGAGAGACAGAGACAGGATATTTGCTGTACGAAGGAGCTGCAAGCTTTATCAGAGATTAGTCTGAGTGGCAGAAAACCAGTTAGTGTTTTTGTGTGCGTGTGCACACCACCCTTCAAAAGTTCACTGTTCACATTACTGTTCGCTGTTCAGTAATATCACTATTCATTAGCGGAATTGCTGTTTTCAATAGTACAAAAACAGGTTTGTTGCAAATCCATGCAGTTATGGTTCCACTATGATGACTTACAGGTTTCAAGTCATTTTTAGGATGCTTTAACATATAACAGATATTTTAAGGTGTGCTCAGAATGATGAAAGGAGATGTGGATGATTCTATTATATCTATGAAAGCTGTATAGAACTGAGAATGAAGTTAATATCTGCAGTGTCTTCAAGTTGCGATTAAATCTTAACAGTACAATTACTATAAACAGTACAATTGCTATAATTACGGTCTATTTTCCTTGTTCTTCTCAGAATTCCTAAAATATTGAGTTAAACTAAAAATACCTTCTTATATCTATTACAGAATATGTTGATCTACATCATCTAGGTTTTAATTGAACAAACTAACTACAATGATCATGGCCTAATCCACAATATGGGTGACCTGGGTGACCAGGGGCACCAAAGTGTTGTTAAAAATAATAAATGTGTTGAAAGATTCAGTTTGTTCTAATGTACTCACAGAACAGATTAGTCAGTCTGTGTAAGAATCCAGATGCATCATCATTATCTGTGCCTTAAATTTGGCAGACTGTAAATTTTGGCATCTACAAGCAAAACACAAACAAAATTGAAGATTGTGATATTGTTTATCT